TGGGTCTGAGGGCCTAGGACGGACGAACTGACAGCTCGAGTCGGGGCGTGGAGGATGAATAACAACAGTAGTGGAGGAGAACTGGGAGAAAGTTATGGCCAAATCCTCGATGCCGGCGGCCAGACAAGTAGCGACGAGGGGTGGAAAGGGGCGAAGGACGGTGAATGACTTTACTTTATTTAATTAACACCTCTACAACAGTCAGATATGGAACCGATGATACCGAAGCCTACGCCGCCACGAGCAATGACGAGAAGGACAGAGGCCTAGACCTAACACTACCGCGGTGCATGCAAAAGGAACAAGCCCATCCGAGCCAAACTCTTAACAAAACTAAAAAAATACTAGCAGGTCTTGCTCGCCGCCAACGGAGTCATCGGAGGAAGAGGAGGAGGGGGCCAGTGATGGCGGCGGCAAAAACCTGAGCTGGAGCTTGGAGAGGCGTTCTAGAAGGTGAGTTGGTGACTGCCACTGCCATAGATCACTATTGATTGGAGATGAGAATGGATCGAACATGCAATGATCAAATTATATGTTAAAATTATTCTAAAAATATGAAAAAAGGTAAATTGGAACGGCGCAAGCTCACAATGATCATGTATCAAGTTTCAAGAAGCAAAACTAAGCATGCCAGGTATCTTTATGGGTGGCAAGTGGCGACAGTCTTAAACTTAGCCTAGAGTATTTACCCTTTTATATTGCTTGCACAGTTCCACTTGGCAAGAACCGAAGATGCACTTGCCTTCTATATGAGTGGGACTATTATTACCATGCTTTTCATTGTGAACTTATTAAAAATCAGACCCAGGGTATGTTTAGCTGGACTTAAGCTCCTAAAATGACCGCAACTTTAACTCCTATGATAGAACGGCTCTAGTAAAGCTAAAGCAATATGTAAAAATGTTTAGCAAAACGGTAATGTTGTCGGTAGGATGTCCAATCGGCCGGACGCCCACGTTGGTGGGCCTCATCCGCCCGAATGATCCAACACCATCAATCGCACGGTCGCTCACGTTGCTCAAAAAAAAAAAAAAAGATCTCCGCTCACTTTTCTCTCGAATCGTCGTTGTGACTGCACTCATTCTCAAATTGCCGCCGCGCCCGTACTCCGCCTCGCTGCTGCCGCCTTTCTTGCCGCTCGCTCCCTCCCACGACGTGCGCGCCCGCCCGTGACGCTTGGCTCCCCATTCTCGGGCCGTGCTCTATCCTGCGCCGCGCCGTGCGCCTCATCTCTCCCCACCCACCCACACACTACCGCGTCCATCCCCCACCCCGTCGCAGCCCGCCCCCGGGCGGCACCAATGGGGTACGTGCCGTCGGTGGTGACGAGGGTGCTAGAGCAGCGCACGGCGTTGCGGTGGCCTAGGAGACAGCACTCCTCGTGGGCCCCTCTAGGCGGGGGCCCTCCTTGGCCCCTGCTCGGCTGGGCCTCGTCCTTGCCACTCCAGAGCCTCCGCCAAGGTAGCCTCCATCCGCTCTCTATCCTCCTCGCCGATCTACCGCAGTTCACCATCAGGTAGGCCATGGCCACGCATCGATGCTATGTTTCAAGTGTTTTCTGGATGTTTTTCATACATGTTGCAAGCCTATGTTTCAAGTGTTTCAGTTGTTTAAGATGTATGTTTCAATTGTTTCATACGATGTTGCAAAAGTAGATCGGGATATTGCATATGTTGCAATGGTTGTACACATATGTTGCAAGCGTCTATCCCTAATCTCTCATCTGTTTTTTTGTACACGTATGTTGCAAGTGTTTCAAACACATGTCTTAAGTATTTCATCTGTCTTCTTTTGTATGTTGCAAGTGTTGTATCTGGATGTTTCAAAAGTAGATCGGGATGTTGCATATGTTGCAATGGTGTTTCAACTATATGCCCAAATATTTTATCTATTTTACACGTATGTTGCAAAGATTTCATCTGGATGTTGCAAAAGTAGATCTGGTATTTGAATGTTGTAGTTGGACCCACCTGCCACGACCATCTGCTTGTAGCTGTTGGGCCCGCGTGCATGAGTGGGGTGGGCGGCGTGAGTGGCAGGCGCGGGAAACGAGAGCAGGCGCAGATCGAGACACGCCCCTGCATGCGCGGGAAACAGAACGGTGTGGCCCCCCAAGTGAAGTGGGCGTCAGACGTGTGGCGGGCGTCAGTTCCGTTAGCAAAATAGCTTTAAGAGTATATTTGAGAGAGAGAAAAGCTTAAAAGCAGATAAAAACTAAAAATTATGTGTGCTCTTAGTTTAAAAAGAGCTGCGGCCTCTTATTGACTTCAAGGGCAAAGCTTTTTTAAAATCCCTAATAAAAACTTCCTACTCTATTGGGAAAATGTTTTATAAGGTTTCAACCATCTCCACAAAAGGTCATTATTACAAGGCATGCTTTAACGTAATTGTCATGTAGGTTAGCATTTGAAATTCATGTTTCGAACAATCCAACAGAGGAGAATTTGTTTCACCAAAATTTTGTTTCCATCTCCAATCAATTTTATTGGGAAATTTAGTGTCTCTATAATAATTTTTTGAAGAAATTTCAATGCCTATAATTCCTTTTTAAGTTTTTCAATAATAAAGTAGTGTTTCTAAATTCGAAGTCCAAGAAAGGAAAATACTTCATAGCAGAGGCATGGCCCACCTGTCAGCAGGCGGAACCCTCGCGCACAGCAGGCAGCAGCCGGGCGCGGGCAAATCTTCCCACTTCCACGCGGCCGGGGCTCACGCGTGTCACGAAGTCACGCTCACAAGCCTCTTCCCCTCCGCTGCAAGGGATATTTAACTTTTTACCATTATAACGGATGGTGACTCCTGATACATCACTCTTAGAATTGGCGCTACAGTTTTAACAGCAAAGAGAGAAAAACGATACGAAATTATCACTTTTTACTCACGTGGCACGCCAGCACCTCACGCCAGCACGGATCTGAATCAGCAGCCCCATGTCAAATGACCACCCCTGCCCCTAGTGTCTTTCTTCATCTCCCACTTGTTCCTCCCACCGCGCCGCCGGGGACGAGTTGCCACATGCCTCCATGCTGCTGCTGGCCGAGTCGCTGCAGACCTCCACGGTCCACGCAGCCGCAGGTCACTCACCCCACGTTGCAGCATTTGAAGATCACACAATTGTTAACCGGATCAAGCACAATTCATCACGTTGCCACAACTAGCGGGGGGAAGCAGAAAAGGCAGTGAGGACTGGACGATGGCAGCCCGACATGGTGAAGCCGTGCTTGCGGGAGACCTGCGCGGCGCTCCTCGACGACGGTGTCCGCCGTCCGCCTTTCTTCGGACGGCGGCGGGCTGCTTGGTGGTGTCGCGGCGTCGTGAGTAGGTCTCCCCTCCAGGCGCAGGGCCTGCCTCGGGCGCGGGTGTGCTGTGCGGTTCGTCATGTGGCGCGACTGCAATGGCAGTTGCAAGGTGCTCGACGCTGAGCGCAAGGAGATGGCGTCGTTGTTCGCGTTGAGGTCCTGCTCGACAACCACACGTCATCATCGCGCTGCGGGGATGCTACACGCTAGGCGTGAGCTCGTCGCGCTGCGTGGCCGCTGCCGTGGATGATGAGCGAGGAGTTTGACGGAGAGTTGATCTGCTCTGCTTGCCGTCGCGGGAAACGCGTAGGCGATTTTAACCGCCTCCTCCGCCGCCTCCCGGCCGCCATGACGCCCCATGCCGCCGTCGCCGCGACGCACCGCGCTGCACGCCAAGACGGGAAAGCCGCCATTGGGCGGGCCAATGGCCGCCGGCCATGGCGCGCGTATGGCAGCCGCGTCGGTGCCCTCGGGAGCAAACATCACGGCCAAAGACGCTGGTGCCGTGCGCAGTGGAGATCATCGCCGCCGCCATTCGCCCAAGATACCATGGCGCCGCCGCCACCGCCGCCACCGACCCCACAGAGAGCGAAGCCGGTGCCGTGTAGATGGAGCTCGGTGGAAGGGAGGTCGTGCAGCGTGTCGAACGCCAAGCTGAGCTGTGCGCATGACGAGGGCCACGTCGTCGGCTGCTCCGTGTTCGTGGACTGCACCAGACAGGGTGCGTGCGCGCCCGGTCGCTCCACTTGTGCATGCTAGAAGGGGCGCGCGCCGTCCCGCTGCTATCTGCGGAGCATGTGTCGAAGCTTGGCAACGTGCAGGAGAGCCCGCCCGACCTACAACCCCACGGCTACAGCGTGCTGATCAGGGCTTACTCCAAGGGAGAGTGCGCGGTGCTTACCCTGAGAGTGTTCGACAAAATGCGCGTCGCATGGGTGGAGAGGAATAGGATGGAGACAAAGATGGAGAGGGGGCAGGTGGGACATTTCACATATCCCGCTAACTCGGATTCATGTTGACGTGGGGAGTCACGTGAGTAAATGTGATATTTTTGTAGCCATTTTCCTCTCTGCTGTAAAACTGTAAAACCGTAGCGCCAGTTTTAACAGCTTAAGGGTCTCTTTGGCGCAAGCTTTATAAACCGGTTTCATTATTTTGTGTAAATCGAAGACCATGAAGCGTAAAGTCGTTTTATAAGTCAAAATTAAAATAAACTTAGAGCCAAAAACTCACCAGTTTTGTAGTCGTGAAGCCGTTTTGGATCCACCGTGCCAAATGCGCTTAAGAGTCGTCGTGCCTTATAACGGTAAATATCCCCCGCCGCAAACACATGCGCTGACTGCGCCCACGAATCCATCCTGCAACCTGCATCCACTCCTCCACCTCCGCGTTCATTCCTAGGGGCTAGGGTTCCTCCTCTGCCGCATCGCGGGGAACTCTGCGGGCGGAATTTGGTAGGCTAGCTAGTCTCCCGCCAGGAGGTCAATTTCCAGTCAGCGTAGCTTGGTTTTGTAGCCGACCGGTCGATTTGTATCCGGGGGTGGCTGGGTGACAGGGTAGGCTCGATTTAGCGTCCTTTTCGTGGGAATTTTTGGGTCTTAGGCGCGGATTACTGGTGTCTACTGTCTAGGGATCTGCTAGCTGCTAGCTGCTTGGGTTAGGCGGCGCGCGGAGGCTTAGGTGCTTGGCTGACTAGTGTCAATGGCGGGATCTGTCGGCAAGGGCAGGGCGGCGCTGCGGGCGTCCCCGAAGCGGTACAGCGGCACGGACCCGCCGTTGTCTCTGGCGGGGCCGACGTTGGCGGATCTGCAGAGGACGGCCGAGCTGGAGAAGGTTATTCGTTGTCTCTGCTTACGTTTTGCAGCTCTAACGGCTTTACTTGGCTTCCATTTTGATGACGTCCCTGTTGTTTTGCTGAAAAACTTGGTTTCAGTTCTTGGTTGAAGCAGGCCTCTATGAGGGGAAAGAGGAGTCTGCGAAGCGGGAAGATGTGCTATCCGAGATTGGTCAGGTAACCCCTACCTTCCTGTTTTACCTGCGGTTTATATGTTGTTTGTTTACACTACCCAACAAGTTGACATCTCATACATGCTTGAAGTTGGGGGTTGTACTTTATTAGAAGGAAACTTGTGATATATACTACACCCTGTTTCGAAATTGCAAATCATTTTAGTTTTATCCTAAGTCAAACTTCTTTAGCTTTGACTAAGTTTATAGGAAAATGCACAAACATCTACAACCTCAGACAACATTCATTTAGATACACCATTAAATATATTTTGATAGTGTATTTTTTTTTATATATAGTAGATGTTAATATATTTTTCTATACTTGGTTAAAGTTAAATTTGACTTAGAACAAATATAAACCGACTTACAATTTGAAATGGCAGTAGTACTTCCTAATTTAGCTTTGTATGGTGTGTACTGCCTTGTTGCATTTTGCTTAGTCAGTGGCGTACTTGTATGGTTTTTGTTTCAGCATTTTTTAATAGGAAAGAATGTTGAATGGTTACCACTATATTTATCTGTCCATTGCTGGTATATTCTTTAGTACCTATATAGTTTTATTTTCCATTGCTACTTTGCAGAAATAATAGACCTATTTTTTCTGTCTTTTTTATTTCTTAATCTATCTTTGCTTGAGCCTTGAAGTGTTGCATAATACATTAACGTGCACATATGCTTTCTTTTGAATTTACAGATAGTCAAGGAATGGGTGAAGCAGTTGACTAGTAAGAAAGGATATGCTGATCAATTGGTTGAACAAGCAAATGCAGTCCTTTTTACTTTTGGGTCTTACAGATTGGGGGTATCTGCTTCTTTTGGTTCTTGTATCGTATAACAACTTTTCTTGCCATTCAGTTGTTGAAATAGCACAGTTCATTGTATTTATAGTTTTATTAACAGCATTCAGTTCCGCTTGCTGATTATAACCAAAATTTGTTAGTTTTCTTCAGGGTTCAGAACCTCAGACTTAGTTTTATGTTCTGCATAAGTAGAAGAGCTTGCAACTTAATAACTAGTAGGTGCTTTCAAGTTTGGTAGCCCACTTTTCATTAAGTTTTACAAGCAATTACTGTGATTTGCCATAAAGATAAGAGTTGGTTAAAAGGAATCTGAAGGAACATTACTGTTTTCTATTTTAGTACGGATTGTAATTTTGTACTGGAACATACAGTGCTGGTCTTTGGTTGACCCCTTGCTAGTTGATAACTTAAAAAAAGTGACAGATTGCATTTCTTGTTTTGTAGATAGACAAGATCAATAGAGCTTATGGGGTTTATAATTTTCTTTCTTCATTCAAATAATATTCATTGTTGTATTTAAGAGCAATGGTACTACCAAATGTTCTGTGAGTGGTTTCAACCTATTGTGTGTAACTCAGATGAAGAGCACCAACCCATTCTTGTTACTTGAATACTGCAAAACTACGAGAGCTTGTATATCTGTTTATAAGCAGTAACTTGCAGGACAAGGGGTTCTAGGTTGTAGATGCTTATTTTACAGCTATTGTGTAACCAGTTCGCTGCTGCATCTCGCAAATTAACTTCAGTGTTATAAAGTCGTCTGATTGATCATGATTAATAGCAATTAGTCGTCCTAGACTCCTAATCGGTATCCTGGACTTGACTAGGGGCTACGACTCGATTAGGCTGATTAGTTTTCTGGTCATCCGATTCATTGTCGACTAGTCACAATTAGTCTGATGACTAGGGGGTGGAAGACCAGAAAAAGAATGGAATTGCTGGGCAGTTGAGGACATGGGCTGCATCTGGGATGGCTTAGGGCACTGGACCTCATGTTTTCCAGCCCAATTTGCAACCCTACTTGCAGCCACCACCCTAGAATTATCTTCATGCTTGATTTGTACTGAACATGTAATATATTGGTATATATTTGGTATATTTGTCCTGATATATAGGACGACCAGGACCGACCAGGGCTGAGTAGTCGCCCTGGTTGACAACTAATTGCGACTAGTCGCCTTGGTTGATGACTAATCGCGAGTAGTCGCTTGGTGGGTCCCATGGTGACTAGGATTGGTCAGACTTCTTGATATCATTTAACTTAGCGAAAATTTTATGTAAAGGCAACAAAAAACATCCTTCCCTAGGTTATGTGTCCCATCTTGATTTTGTGAGGTGCCGAGACAGTATGCTATCCTTTTGCATTAAATACTTTTAGTCGATAAATTTGGTCTTATAATAACCTTGTTAGGTTCATGGACCTGAAGCTGATATTGATACCCTTTGTGTTGGACCTTCATATGTGAACCGAGAGGTGATTTCACCTGTGCTATTGCCTATTGGTTGTATGGATTCCATAAGGATATATGATGGATGTTAACAATAATATTCTGCAGGAGGATTTCTTTGTCACACTGCATGGCATATTAGCAGAGAAGGAAGAAGTTACTGAGTTGCAACCTGTACCTGATGCTCATGTACCTGTATTGAAATTTAAGTTCCGTGGCATATCAATTGACCTTCTGTATGCTAGCCTCTCTCTTTTCAGTGATACCAGCGGTAAGTCATTCCATTTAATACTTCTATGTGTTGATGTGTCCTTGTTCGGCTACACTCGTTAAAGAAAATTTTCCTTCATAAGGAGTGTACCTTTTGCACAAGATAGTGTTTTAGCCACTTAAGTTATCTTATATGGGTTCCTGCTTTTCAAAGGTGGAAGTTGTGATAGATTTTGGGCTTTTTATTAAAACCTGTTTCTTTAAAATGTATATCACCTGAACCTGTTTCCTTAACTTAATGTCATCTAATTTGTTAATCTTACCTTTTAAGATTGACAGGAGGGACAAAACATATACCTTAAACTGTTTATTTTGCCTTCTTGAAGTCGTTTTCCCCATTTTTGTAAATATTGGAAATTTTGATTCAACTTAACATGGGATCTCTCTCTGAAGAACATACATGCATGCAGAATGCTGTTGAACAGATGTATTATTTATTTGTTTTCTTGTACTGCTGCAGGATTTTGATCTCTCTCAAGGATCTGTTCTTTGTGATGTTGATGAAGCAACTGTTCGAAGTCTTAATGGATGCAGAGTGGCGGATCAGATTCTTCGGCTTGTTCCAAATGTTGAGGTTATATGAAACAGCCCCCTCAACTTTATCCTGTATTGTATGGTCCCACTGTGTTAGTATACCAAACTTTGTGCTTTGCAGAATTTCCGAACAACACTCAGATGCTTGAAGTACTGGGCAAAGAGAAGGGGTGTTTATTCTAATGTACGCCTGAGTTTGTCATCAATTATTTACACAGTTTATTTTGTAGTTGGACTGAATGAACACTAGCAAAAAGAAGTTTATCCTCGCAAATGAACTGTAATGATGTTAGTATTTTCCTTGTCAGATTACTGGTTTCCTTGGGGGTGTCAACTGGGCTCTGCTGGTTGCCCATGTCTGCCAACTCTATCCTAATGCTGTGCCAAGTATGCTGGTTTCTAGGTTCTTCAGAGTTTTTACCCAGTGGCAATGGCCAAATCCAGTGATGCTATGTGCAATTGAGAATAATGATCTTGGTTTTTCTATATGGGATCCACGCAAAAATCCGCGTGATAGAAACCATCTCATGCCCATCATCACTCCAGCCTACCCATGCATGAACTCTAGTTACAATGTTTCAAGCAGCACACTGAGGGTTATAATGGAGCAATTTCAATTTGGCAACAAAATTTGTCAGGTATGCATTGATTTCTACCTGTAAATTTACGGCTGATAGCTAATGTTCTTGGTATGGTCTCACTGCCTATCTTTTATGCAAGGAATTGAACTTAATAAGGCCAATTGGAATGCTTTATTTGAGCCTTTCCATTTTTTTGAGGCATACAGAAAGTTTCTAGTGGTTGACATAGTTGCAGAGAATGAAGATGATCTTCGTCTTTGGAAGGGATGGATCGAGTCTCGTTTGAGACAACTTACTTTAAAGGTACCTTTTGATTTTCTTAATTTTGTGCACCATGACTTCAACTGTTGTTACTTTTCTTGGTTAGACATATGGAGTCCACATAAAAGCATGGTTGTATTGTATTTACAGAAAAATAAAATTTCCTTATGGTATTTGTTCTTCTAAAATGCAGATTGATCGGGATACTAAAGGAATTTTGCAGTGCCATCCGTACCCATGTGAGTATTCAGATCCCACAATAGAGTGTGCACATTGTGCCTTCTACATGGGCTTATCAAGGAAAGAGGGGTCGAAAAAACATGGTCAACAGTTTGATATCCGTGGGACAGTAGATGAATTTATGCGTGAAATTGGCATGTATTCATTGTGGAAGCCTGGGATGGATCTGGCTGTCACCCATGTCCATAGGGAGCAGGTCCCATCTTATGTATTTGAGCAAGGATACAAGAAACCCTGCCCTACAATGCATGCAAACCAACAAGAGCAGTCTGATGGAGATGTCACATTGAGCCCATATCTGGACAGTCAGCTTAAGAGAAAGTACGATTCCGATGGAGATGGCCATGTGGAACTTTGCAAATCTGTAAAAAGGGCTGCAGTAAGCCCACCTGGTGTGGGAACCCCACCTCATGGAAATAGTGTCAGTAACATCGTTTGTGACAGCCCAGTCAAATTCGTTTCAAGTGTCGTTTGCAGCGGATCTCTGACTTCTCCATCACATGATGATATAAACTTAGAACAAGCACAATTAACTACTTCACCATATGGATCTGAGGATACCTCAGCATCAGGCACAAGCTTTGCAGCAGTGGGAGTAGTTGTTTTGGCTGATGAATCCAGCAAGCTCGGTAACTTGACATCAGATCTTGAAGTTAATACAATTCAGACAATGCCACTGCACACATATTTAGAATGCGTCGCTCAGAAGGATGAAACAAAGCTCGAGGAAATCAGAAGCTTGGCAAGCAGCAATTGTGCAGAGTTTGTAGAGAGCTCAGTTCTTGCCGAGAAGGTACACTTAGACTTAGGTGGGGATGAAGTGAATTGAAACGTCATTTCAGATGAGGTTTTTCTTCCTATACTTCCTGTCAAATTAAGATTCTAGTTTGATATGATCTGGACTCTACGCCTGTCTTGCTATTTTTCATTGATTAACTGTTTTGATCCACAGTGGATGAAACATGTGATTCAAAGTGCTTTCTAAAGGTGATGCAGGTGTGAAGTTGCATAGCTCTCAGATATGACAGAAATCGGAGTTGAGGCATGTCTAGTGTCAGAATCCTTCTTTCATTCCTTAAGCATAAAAAATGCTCTATTATGTTTATGTTGTGCTTTTCGGCCCTTATTTCTTTTTTGGCAGGACTTAATCATATGCCATCAACTGATTGCTGCTGGATGGAAATCGAGTTTCATGCCTCCCCAACAGCCCAGATTCACAGATCACAGCATAGTCCAATACCAAAAGCCTCCCCCAACAGCGTGAGCGTGACACTCGCCGTGCTTAAGCAGTGGCTTGCTCCCAAGTTGCCGATAGAGGAAAGCGTTTCTTGATGTCATTCAGGTTCTCCCACAGTCCAATTTGACGGCAAGCCAGACCACCGGATCAGGATCAATGGAAACATAACGCAATATCTGAGCTTACCGAACTCAGGTGGAAGGACAACTTTCAATTGTGAGACGTGTAGATGGATATGAGAACCAGATGTTAACTAGCTTGTCCCCAACCTGACCAAGACGTTCAAGAATGAACTATATAGGGCCCAAAAGTATTTGTAACTGAACTGCTAATTGGAGCGCCTTGCCACTGACAATTGTACAATACTGCTGTTTGACGAAATTTTGTTCATTCTAAATACTTTAATTAGTGCATGCATGCGCGTCCGTATCACCGTATGTGCTATTTGTACGGGAGATATAAGGGACGCAAGCTAATAATAATTGTATTGGCTTTGGGTACGTATATTTACATGGTGGCCAACACAAGGATGTACTATGTGTACTCGTTGGACAGCCAATGGACTCGGCTAACGCAGTCCATCCGACACGTGGGACAGTTTGTCCTGGTATATATAGGTGACTCAGCTAAGAGTAACCGGTTAATGGGTGACGTGGCATAAGACGAATAGTTTGTTTGGGCTCGTGGGCGGTCCTTCTAATTAGGATTTCTAGGCTAGGTGTGTTCCCCTACGGTTTAGAGCATCTCTAAGAGTTTCTAATAATTTCTTCTTAAAAATATGGAGTTTTCCAACTCATAAAAAATTATTGGAAGGAATAAATATGATCAACTCCAACAATTTTTAATAATTCACTTCTAAATATAGAAGATAATTTTTAATCAGGAATCCTCTACTATTTCTAAATTATTCTAACCACTTTTATATATTTTTTTTGGTACATTTATATTAGGGATCCTTTCATACTCTTTATTCTTTCCCACGCCCATTTTACCTTTAGATTGGTCGATGGATACGTGCGCGGTGGATGCACGGATATATCCGCGTGATCGGTCCATTTTTCCAAGCGTGGAAAGATTGAGAGGTGGGATTGGGAACGGTTGGAGATGAGTTTTTCCATTCTTACCAAAAATCTTAGATTGAGAGACTTTATTGGGAACTCTTGTAGATGCTCTTAGTACCAAGGCACATTAAGACGACCACCAATTTATCATCTACAACTACCTTTTCGGGCTTGAGGTAGGAAATCGATGGAGGAGGAGGTTGTGGGGTAGAAACCTTACTAACCCGCAACCATGGTTTGGAACCCTATTAGTCGTGGACCCGTTGTCCGATCTGACTACCACCGATATTTAACAAAAAACCCCAAAATGGTCAGCGAGGATCGATGAAAGATATTTAACAAGGCAAGGTCAAGACTAGCAAATTCAAGGTTAATAAGGTTTAAAGAATTTTTTTTGACAAGGACGAATTCTGGGGTCATTATAAGTGGGACCCCTCATTATGGGCATATGATGTCCATGCTCGACTTTTCGCGGACTAGTCGGGCCTGTTTGGTGAGTCTGCTGATGTGCTAGAGGTTGCCCAGTTACGACCAGACAGATCGAAGTGGCTCCTGAGATGTCGACATGGGACCTAGGCCCCTTGAGGGCCATTTCCACTGGGGATGTGCGAGCACACCTGGTGGGCATGAATCCCTCGAGCTTGTCCGACTGGTCCGACTGTCCGAGTTAGGCAGGGGCTTTAATTCTGGCCACTACTGGATCCGTCGCCTTTGCCGAGTGCCGGCCGCACTCGGCAAAGGAACCTTTGCCGTCGGTAAAGGCTTTGAAGTCTTGACTCTCTCGGCAAAGCCCACTTTCACTAAAAAAGTGGTCGGCAAAGGAATCTTTGCCGAAAGTGCCACGTGGCGAGCACTCGGCAAAGGTAACGGGCGCAAATCAACTTGCGGCACCCTTTGCCGAGTGTCGACGCGTGTCGATCACTTTCGGCAAAGGAAATTTTTTTGAAAAATTCTTCGCGAAAGTCGACGGCGTGTCGAGCACTTTCGATTTTTTTTGAAAAATTCTTTGCCGATCGCCACGTGGGGCACTTTCGGCAAAGATTTTTTAAAAAAGCCTTTGCGAAAGTTTGGTCAGTTTGTCACGAGTGCCGAAAGTGCCACGCCAAAGACTCGGCAAAGCTGAAACTCTATTTGGGAAAAATGTTTGACTTTGTCGAAAGTCTTGGCACTTTCGGCAAAGCTGGATTTTTTTTTTTTTTTTCGTTTTCTTGCATTCCGGACATGCAATTTCACATATATTCATGACAATAAACTAGAATATCACATAAAAATCACATTTCATCATCAAATGACGTCTCAACACGATATAAGTTAATAACAAGTTCATAACATGTCCAAAACCTGCAAGAAAACAACGGCGCGAAGGCCGATAACCACAGCGACACGAAGGCCGACATCACAGCGGCACGAAGGCCGACAAGTCCACAAGCGGGTAGTAGAGGTACCTAGCTCGACCCGGCGTCCTCAGGGGCCCCAGAGCCCCCACCTTGCTCCCACGGAGACCACCTTGACTACGGCGCCGCCTGGAACGTCGAGTAGGGCCCGGAGTGCCCCTGCCGCGTCGGTGGAGGAGGAGCGGTACATGGCCACGTGAAGCCCTGAGTCGGGAAGGTCGGGTGAGCCGGCCACCCGTGCGGTGGAGAAGGGCCCAGTGGAGGGCTGGCACCTGGAGGAGTCGGGTTTGAACCCGCCGACTGTTCCTGCACAAAGGACAAGTGATCTCATTAGTACCTGCAGGATGGCCACACAAGCTAAAGCAATAGGCAATATACTCACCGGAGTTGCTATAGGAGCAGGCACAGGAAAAGGTGGTGGAGCGAAGATCGAGGCAGGGAGCTCGTGCTGCTGCATTCCCGGGATCTGAAGGCCCCGGAAGTAGGCGACAAAGTCCTGCATCTGACGCTGGTAGTGTTGCGTGACAGCCGCCAGCTGCCGCTGATGGGCCACCGCTATGTTCTCCTGGTTCATCTGCAACTGTGCGATCTGGGCCTGCAATATTACACCTGCAAAGTTGATGGTATGTGAAAGCAAGGTACATGTGTGAAATGAGTGAACGACGAATGAAACTGCACTTACCTGAAATGCCGAGAACATTTGCGCGTTGCTTGGCTGCCGAGGCGCTATGGGGATGTCGGAGGAGCTCCTGGTCATGTCTCGTCGAATCTGGCTCAGCGTGGGAACAGAGGACGACTCGATGGCGCTGTTGGCCATCCAGTACCGGCCGTGCTGCTTCCCTCCTCCCAACCTCATCAAGAGGTCCGTGTCTAGGGGGTCGGTGGCGGGGTCGAACATCTCCCCATGGCGCTGGCGAGCCGCGGAGGTGTACTCGGCGAGCTTGGGGTAGACGCTCGCGTTGGTGTATGTGTCGGGCCCGTCCACCGGGTCGTAGACGTTGTCCGCCGTTGTCGCTTTGCCCTTGTGAGCAAGGGCGTACCCCGTGAACTCATTGACGACCTGCCCACCATGCGACTGGGTCTGCGAGGAAAACACAAACATGGTTACAAGTAATGACAATTGAGCGCTAGAATTAATAGATCAACAGAAGCATACCCATCTTTCCATGAACACTGGGAGGGACTGGTTCCCTTGGTGGTGTGGTGCCCCTCGCATCTGCAGGCGGCACTCCCGACATTCTCTGCGCCTCTGGTACGCTGCGTCCGTGGTCCACTCACGCACAATGGCCGCCCAGCAGTCCTTGTAGTTGTCGCACCACCCCGGACACATCTGCATGACATCAAGTATTTGACATGCCGAAGATGAATTGAATGTTTCACGGAAGGAATCGAGCGAATGTTTCCTACTTAATTACACGCATGTGTATTGCGCGCCTGTGAGGTCGGTCTCCCTCTAGAGTATCATCTCCACGACTTGCGGCTTCTTCACCCACGGCCAAGCACGTCGGCGTAGTAGCTGATGACGACTTTGGAGATGCACCTCGTGGTACAGGTCCTTGAGGCGATCTTTGCGAGACCGCCTCGCACTTTCGCGCGCCGCATCTTTGCTCTCTCTCCTCCTCGCACGTGAAGAAGTCACGCACACGGACATCATGTATCATTTCATTGTTTCAAGAACGTCCAACGAATGCGTAGTATTGAGAAATGTGGTGCGATGAAAATACTCACCCAGAACTCCCTCTTGATCTTCGCCGCAAGGGTATCGCCATTGGAGTCCGTGATGCTAGAGAAGTGCTCCCACTTCATGGGCGCTCACATACCTCACCCTTGTGGGTGACCAAGCGAGGTAGTACTCCCTAATCAAGCGAGCCACGGATGCCATTGATATGGCATGAACCGCTCCCTCTGCTCACAAACGTCCAGCTACTGCACGAGTCATTAACAACAATTGTTAGTCTGCAGTTTGATTTTCAACATGTCATATGAACAAGTAGTGAAATCAACAATGGTTACTTACGTCTCACCCACGGGTCGAATCACCAGGCGGTGGGAAGGGAGCGGCCGTGGCTCAGGGAGCGACGAGGGCCCACGCTGGTAGGGCTTGCTCGAACCTAAGGAAGCCGTATCACCTGTTGTC